GACATACACTCGCAATACTACAGCACAACGTAAGGAAATCGAAGGGTACCGTCATGGCGATAGGAGCCACAGGACATGCTTCGTCGAGCTGGTGAACTGCAGGCCGAAGCGAACTAGTGCGAGATGAGCGCGGGTGCCTTGCAAGAGGCGTGTCGGAGGGCGAGGCAAGAATTGCATTCTCTTTTGATCAATCCCACGGGCAGCTTGAACATTAGGGCTGCCACGAGTGGCCACATACAGGTCAATAGCAGGGATTCGCAAAGCGGTGCAGAACCGGTCAGGCCTAGACGATGTTGCTTAGGGACTGCTCCGACTATGTCCTATCTATGAAAATGTTACATGTCAGAGATGGCGAGTAAGGGGGAAGTAGGTGAGGGATTAGTGTAGATCGTAGTGCAGCCTGATAGTGATCTCAACAGCAAAGCCGTTCGGCTGCTGTCTAAGCGAAATAGGAATTGATTCGTGGCTGAGTGATATTACTAGTGCAAAGGAAAGACTTTTTTGCTTGATTGCTCTGCTATCCGCTGACAACGCCTGCACGCTTCTGTGTAGAGTTCGGCTCCGAAAGTAACGCGGAGTATCGTTTCGGGTCGGCTAGGTCGGCCAACATTAGTCCGGCGCCTGGCGGCGGCCGTGGGGCCATCGCAGACGGGCTCCGGCCAGGAGAGGTGAGGAGGTTCCGGCTGTCAAGAAATTGGTTGGAAGGCTCACCATGAGACCCTACCATGTTATGACTGTCGGCGGCGAGGTGGGACTCGATGTCGCTGTCCCCGACGAACTCGACAAGTAGTCGGCTCAAGTCGTCGCGCTTGTCTTTCCTCGTCGTCATCGCTAGACCTATCGTCATCGGAGTCCTCAACGGGTGCTTCGCCCAGCGTTCTAGGATCGGCGTCTGAAATGTAGGGGTGCTGGGATTGTGTCCGGCCGAAGTTCGCATTTCCGAACAAAAACAAGCCTACAGCTAACCCTGCCGGAACTCCAGCGACCATCCTAGTGGCTACAGTCGCAGCACCACGACGAATGGTTTCGCCAAGTGTAGAAGCCTCATCGCGTGAAACATCGGCGAGATTCCCAACGTCAATAAAGTGGACCCGACGGCTAGGTTTGGGTAGGTTTAGCCACACGTATGGCTTTGAGTTGTGAATATGGCCGTGAATGGTAAGCGGCATCAGTTTGTGAGGGAAGGCCAGCGACTCCCCGATCATCATCGGACGATAGGCCGGTATCAGAAGGTGAATGTGGATCTTCTTTCCTTCCCTAGTCATGTTGTCCTTTATGAAGCGCATCCAGATGACGAGGGCATCTAGGTTCTGGGACATGCCGAGAAAGCGGTGTGATAGTGGCTGGTCCTGAATGCGGTGAAAGAAGGCCGGATCCCAATCCGTGTCCGGATGATAGAGAAAAAAGACGTGAAGGCGGCCCTTAGATGGCCAAGGCCTGATGGTCTGCTGGATGACGAAACGGTGGACCTGCTTGGCGAACTTTTCTGGAGCATCAAGCCCTGTCTGTTTGCGCTTCCGCATTGTCGGCGATGCGGGCGTGGACTGCCTCCAGAGCTGCCTGTGCGCGGGAGCCCTGCAACACTTCAAGGAACTGAGCAGCCAAACCCAAGCCGGAGACATACATTCCCCAGCGTTCGACGATCTGCCGGTGCCCAAGAAAAGACGTGACAGCCTCAGCGTTGGCCCGGATGAGGGGCGCCGCCTCTTTCATCAGTTGCCGTGTCTGGCTCCCGGTCTGGTAATTGTTTATAGTGTCGGCCACTGCCGAGACGGTGCCCGCATTCGAAAGCCCGAATTCGATCCATTTCTCTACCTTAGTCCCCTTTTGGCCCATAATTTCGACCTGGGTTCGCTTTCAATTGTTAAGTGTAGATTTCGGGTCCGGATAGAGCAAGAGCGGATTATTCGAGGGCAAGGTAGGCAGGACCTGTCATGCGTTAGCAGATGACTAGGAGTCACCGCCAGGACCCCTGGGG